GACAACTGGGTGCACTAGCCTTAAGGTGGAGAGCTGCCACATTAGGATCTAGCCTCATTTACTGGGTCCTGACCCCATGCTCCTCCCTGCTGCCAGGTTTCTTTCTGATCTCTCCAAAGAGATCAGCAGGAAGCATGCAGGTCTCAGGTGGGCTTGTCTCACTTACAAGATGTCCTTATTGTGAGCTGGGCTCACTGCAGGCACGGCTCCTGCCCCACTGCCTGCTTACTGACTGAAACTTCTGCTGTGGTTGGGGGACCCCTGGCTGACCCATCATCTCACTTCAGGTCCCACAGTGACCTCTGTCCCCTGGACATCTCCTGGGGTTGGTCCTTGCTTCTGGTTCCAGTTTGCCCTTGGTTGACAGGCTCCTGGTTCCTGGCTTCCTGCTCTGTTTTAAGAATCCCTCGCCTCCCACAGCCTGTATGTCACAGGATGAAAGGCATTATGATCCAGGAGAGGCTCACGGCTGGCTGGAGGGAGGCTGCATTTTCTAATGGCCTTTATTAGCCGGCAAAAGGCTACATTCTGCCAGCCAGCGCAGAGACAGCTGTTTTTCACTTCACTGACTTTGGAAAAACTGTGAAACTGTTTCTATTCCCTCCCAGTTCTTTCTGCCACCTTGGCTTCCCCAGGGCTGTCAGGAGTATGAACCTCAAAGAAAGGGTCTGCAGCAGTGGGAGGCCAGGCAGCAGCACTCCCATCAGAAATGCAAGTGTTCTTCCCAAGTGAACGTTTAAGGTGGACAGCAACATTTAAGAGGCAAAGGCACAAATACTGGAGGTCTCAAAAGAAGAGGTGCTGCTTTTCTCAAACAGGCCGTGTCTCTTCATCTGACTATGAACAGGCATGCTTACGCATACCACCTTTTGCTCTCTATATATGAAAGCAGAATCAGTCCTGGAATAACAGAGCTAGATGGCCCTCATGGATCGCCTGGTTCAAACGTTCAATTTATCAAAGCAACTGAAGCTCAAGTCACTATAATTAGATTAGGATGGTAGCAACAGCATTTCCCAGAAACCCCACCCTCCCAGTGAACACAGAACGTCCCATAAGGGTCCAGCCAGCTTCTGCACTTTTCTGTCAATAGCAGCAGGGCTGGGGAAAAGCTGAAATGCTTAGACTGGCTCCTCCCAATGCAGCCCAGTTCTGCAAGTAAATAGCAGAGAAGTGGTATGTCCCAGGGCACTGCTCCGGAGGTAATGCGGATGTGACACCCTTCTCCTTTTTTAAAAAACAGAACTTGGGCACATTTTGGTTTACTCCTGAGCAAATACTGTGGCTTCCCATTCCCCCTCCTTTCTATTTCTCCTGTAAGGCAGGTGTAGCAAAATAGGATGGGAACCAGGTATCAATGGCAATCCAATCTTGCCGAGCTTGAGAAAGTTATGATGAGGAAGGAGACCCTTAATCCTCTTCAGCTTCTAAGGCCATTTCCCCGTCAGCCTTCTACATTGCTCAAAAGGAACAGTTAGAAGTCCGCTAGAGGAGTGGCCGGTTGGCACCTCCGGCCACGTTAAGGATAAGACCCCTACTGCTAACCACAGTCCCATCTCTAGATCACAGATATGGCACGGAGGAATCTTTCCAGAAGGCATTGCTTTTACTTAAACGTGATCAGACCCTCACCTACATCATGTAACCCACGCCTACTTCATGGATCAAGACCCTTTCAAATGTAATTTCTAGAGTTGTAAGCCTTTAAAAGGGCAAAGATTTTCTTTGTTGGAGAGCTCGGCTGTTAAGGTATTTTCACCTGCCGCAGCTCCTGGCGAAATAAATCAGCACTTCTTCCCAGTTCGGTGTTCGAGAGGTTTGTTTGCAGTCTTTCCTACTTCAATGAGGCTAAGCAGATAAGAGAAGTAAAAGACAAAGAAGCATGTATCAGCCGATGATCTCCTTCATTTTTAAATGCTGCATCTCATATAGCCAGCCGGTAGCTTTTAAGTCTTAGGAGTAATAATTATAGCAATTTAATATCTCTTTACTCTCATGAAGAACACATAACTTAATATACTAGAAATAACAGTCTAAATGTCTCATGTCAACTCATGAGAAATCGTTTGAGAACAGCTGAAGAAAGACTCATGTGAGTAAGTGGAAAAATAAGTAGAGAGGAAGAGTAAGGCTAAGGAGTATCTGGAAATTTTCCTATCAGTAAAATCTATTAGTCTCCAGGACAATGCCCCAGGGAACCAGTGAAAGGCCAATCTGATGAGTCATTTAAGAGTGGAGTGGGCTTAGCCACTGGAATTATTCCATGGGGAAATCCTTGCACTGTGTGTCAGATATGGACAACACATCCTAACAGCTTGTTGTTGTGCTGAGGATTTTCCATGTTTAGCATGTCCAACTTGTTCTCTGGATTTAACAGGAAACATAAGGAGAGTTGGCCCACGAGGAGCTGCTAAAATAGGCTGTTGGGACCACGTATCTTGCTGGAGTCTCTTCTAACAACAGCGGCACAGTTGGGGTCACGAGGCTAGACTAAATTCACAAAGAGCAAAAGGGCAACCTGGTATTGGAGGGAAAGTAACTGCTCATGAAACACTGACAGAAGCTCCTTCTGACCTCGTGGCACGATCTTAAAACGGAGCAGTGCCAAGCTGCCCCTCTCATCACGGGCTTCATCAACCCAATCCCCACGTGTGACCTTCAGACGCTGTCACCTGCTGGTTAGATAGTTCCCATTCTTTGCCCTCGCTCTAGCGTTTTCACTTTCTCTTTCCCTTACTGCCTTACTTCTGTATTAGTGGATGATGGCTGGATGCCCCTTCACAAACCTGCCCACTCGAAAACCAAACGCCACTTATGTATTTTGAAATCTTTTGTTTCTACAGCAAGGTACATCTTGGTCTAGCTATTAAATTTACTATCGTGACTTCCCTAAGTTTCAATGCTCTCAACTGGAAAATGGTGAAAATAAAACCATCTCTATTTACATCTCAGGTTGTCATAAAAAAAATAAAAAAAAAATAAAAAACAACAACAAGTAAAAGAATGGATGTGTAATGACCTTGCAATCCTAACGACTGCAGAAATGTGAGGTGGTGCTACTTCTTGGCTCTCATCCATTTCAATGTCGCCCATCTTAGGAAAAAAGGTTTGAGGGCTTCTATCTTTTTAACATTAACTTGTATTATACACCTCCTAATAACTGAATACAAGAGCCATGAGAACCGTAGGCACTCTAAACATATTACCTGAAAATAACAGATTGGAGAGTGAGGGGGAAAAAAAGAGGGTCTTTTTTGAAATCACTAATAATAATTTGATGCTTTTGGCTGAGCTGTTTAGTAAATTTCAGCACAATAATGCAACTGAGGAAAGAAGGGGGGAAATTAGATTGACTGAATACTTTATATCAAAGTAATCCTCACAACATGACCCCAATTCACAGATGAGAAAACTCAAGCCCCAAGGTCACAGAGCTAGGCAAAGGAGAGGGTACAAACTCAGGTCTTCCAGATTCTAACTCCCTATCGTGCCATGTGGCATATTTGATTTTGTCACAAGTTAACTCTGCTTTATCCTATAAATATGTACCATGGATCTCACAGGACTATGTAGATGATTCAACACAACCCAGACAGGCAGGATGGGGTCGATACTCCCCATGCCCCTGCAGCTGCCACTTTGGTAACGTCACAAATCACACAGCAGAAGTAGGCACGTGTGCTGGAGACCAGCATTGAAATACACACTTTGTCACAGCCCCTCTTTTCCACAGACTGCCACCTCAAAAGGCACTATTCTCAAGTTAGAAAAATCCATGAACCAACCTGTAAGTCCTAAGTCCTTCAGTTCGTATTCATATTGAAGGCTGGGGTTTGTTAAGAGCGTATCAGAAGCTGTTTGCGACAAAGAGAATGTACTAACTTAACATTAGCAACATTGCTTCTACCAAAGACCTTTAAAGAAAAGGATCCCGTGCATACTACTAAGAGTTACACAAGTGCTGCTACAAGCAAGAAACAGAAAAAAGCTGCAAGCCACTAGGCTTTTAAGGGCAACAAATGCTTTTAACAAATCTTGATTATATTTTTTCCACTAATGTTACTGTTATTTTCCAGCTATCCAGACAATACTAATCCTCCTGTCAGATATTTAGAGAGTCTAAAAATTTACACCAAGTGATATTATTCTAACTAGAGCAAATTAGACTGCAGAAAGGCATGCTGTGTAACTCAAACGCTAGATTTAGTTGGATTCGAAGGTCAAATCTATGGAGTTTGTCAGCAGAGGGAATCAAGGTTTCCAACAATTTCCGCCTCTCAGAACAACCTATACCCAACTGTTAAATTGGTTAAATGATAGGCAATTATGTGACCTGCTAGAACTGATAATTTGCTTCAGGGTTTATCATTCATTAGCTTTCTAAAGTACATAAATTAGAGAAAATGCACGTCCTGCGAATATCATATTTTTCTGATACGAAGGGTCAAGAGAAGAATATGGCTATGGTCTGTAAAAGCAGTGGAAATTATTTTTTAAATGCTCTCTCTGGTTTCCCTTTCCTTGTCCAATTAGGTCAACTCTATCAGAAGGGTTGGACAGTGACTGAATGGGGTTTTTTTTGCTGTTGTTTTCACCTGGCCCCTGCATGACTCTACCTGCTGCTCTTGGGCCCAAAGCTGCCAGCTCTTAATCTGTATCCTCCTCGCTGGCTCTAAATAGTGGCCTAAAAGTATGAGGCATGACCCTGAGAACCTTATGATTAGAAGAGAAAAGTTCAGCGCAAGTGGAGAAAAATATAATCTTAGTAGAATCCTTTTTTTCTGTAAATAAACGAGTTGAACACAAGGAAGATAATGGGCTCTTTGACAATGATCTGGATAGAAGTTATGCCCTAACCAACTCATCACAGTAATTCTTGACGATGATGACTAGGGCTTATAAAGCTTTTTCACACAGATTGGTCCACTAAGTCCTCACCACTGCCTCAGGTCATCCAGCTATTTGCCCAGTGCCCCCACTGGCCTGGTTGGCACACCTACCTGTTTGGCATGATTGACACAGTGCATATACTGGCTGGCCAGAGCAGAGCATTTGAGGGTCTGGTGTGTGTTCTCACGGTAACACTGGAGAATCTTGGCCTGCAGATCAGCACAGACTGGATGAGACTCATATCGCCTGAAAACAAACACAGGAACTGCTGAGACCAATGGTCTTCATTCAGAATAAAAATCAAGGTTCAAGAACGCATAAAACGTAGTATAAGACACAGGTGTTGCAAATGTAGAAAAAAGTTGAAGAGAAAGAATTTTCCTTAAACATTAACACTGCTCTGAGTTAGTCTGGACAATGTAACCTTCCCTTCCAAATCGAAACCATGTCAGTGCTGCCAGAAACCTGGAAGCCCTCAGCTCTCTTCCACTCCCACATCCACTTGGTCACAGAGTTGGAGATGCCTGCAGCCTGGTCCTCCTCCTCCACACTCGCTGTCCTTACATGGCTTCCAAGTGAGCCACATCCTGGATTCAAGAAACGACCCCGCAGCTGGTCTCTCTCTCAGCTTTGACACTCCCTACTCCTGCCTCTACACACCTTCCAGAGGGTTCCTTTCCAATAGTAAATTGAGGATGGTATCTTTCCCCAGCACTTACTACACAAAATACAAGGACAGCTGGCTGGCTCCAGCTTCTTGACCAGGTTCCTGCCTATCCTGTCGCCTTCACCCCTCAGCCCTGCACACAGCCAATGCCTGGACAAACCCAGTTCAGGGTTTGGTTCTTAGACTCTCTTCATATCTTAGCTCACGCTGCTCTTGATATTGGAAATGCTCTTCACCCAAACTCCCACCCATGCCTATATACCTGGACAACACCTACCCATCCTTTGCTACATCATTCAAGTGTCAACTTTCATTAGCTCTCCATGCCAACCCTGGTACAGTCTTTCAGTCCCTTTATGATGACCCCATTGGTCCTATATTCACTTTTCTTGCCATGCACGTGACACTGACTACACCATTGTCTAATACAATTTAGTAACCTACTTTTACTAGAATGCAGATTCCAAGAACTGTGTCTTATTTTCTTTGTCACCTCAGCTATTAGACATGGAAACCCCTATAGGAGTCATGTAATACATTTACTGAATGAATACAAACGGATGCAAAGAAAACATTTTAAAGTCCCCTGAGTGAAAATTTTGCTAATTATACTTACAAATCTCAGATTTTAGTCAGATTACTTCTCTGTGAATATGTAAGACCAAATGTAAATGTTTCCAAAAAGCTTATAATATATGCTTGAAAAATTATACTAAACCAAATGAATTATACGGATGAAAGTAAAATATTCTTGTTAATACAGCAGGAAGTTTGGACTGTAAGAACTAAATACACACAGAGAAAAAAACAATATTACTACTTTTAATCTAGAAATTCATATTTTTTCAAGTTAGTTTTAATACATGAAGCTTCCAGTCTTTCTTATCGCTTCTATTTTTGAAATTTAAATTTGTTATTTCCATAGTAATCTGGAAATCATATTTTAAATTTAATGGGTTCTTAAAAAAAAAAAAACCCTAGAGAACATAAGGGAATATTTCTCATCAATAAGGAACCCCCTGGGTGACAATTTGTCTCCTCATTACTTTTATCCAGTACACTAAGCTAATATATATTCTGCTAGAATAGAAATACAAAGCATGTTAGTGGTTCCCTGACTTTCTGCTACCCTCTAAAGAACACAGACATACAGAGAAAAAAATATTTCAGCAAATTTTCTATAACATCACTTTTACTTTTTCATTCATTACCTTACTGCTTTGTCAAATACCTAAGAACAGAATTTAAATCTAATCCCAGGAGCCTCCATGCTTTAAGATTTCAAACTTCAGATGTCTGTGAATTTTTCTGGACACAGATTTCCCTAATCCTTTACCACGAACATCGGGATTTAAAAGGAATCAGCTGTGCTTCAAAGAGTAGAGGCACAGATACCACTAACTAATTATAGCAAGACCTGCATCTGGATAAATACTGAATAAAATATGATTAAGCATCAGATCAGCTGAACCTAGCAAATACACGACTAATGACTAACAGCTCATAGGAAAGCGGGGTTACATTCTATCCTAGTGTTGACAACTAAGCGTGTCTCCAATGTGTCTTAGATTTAAAAACAGGGGGAAGGAGGTGAGCAGGGGAGACTAGAACAACCCTGAGCGGATATGCAGCCCTTCCTCATTAACATACGGGAAAAGACTGTAAAAATGAGCATCCACATACTGCGCATCATAAAGGAGACAGCGTATTTTTTCCTTTAAAAAGACTACTCACCATGGGATAATTCACCAAATGTTATGGACTCCTTAGAAAGAGGTCGTTTAAGTTGTAGATAAGCATTTACCCTGAGCTGAGCTATTAGTCATGCAAGTTAAAGTCCATGAGTTATTTATGATTTGAAATGTGTCAAAATATACTTTTATCACCACAAGTCAATACTACTCACTTCTAGGGCTCTTGATTTCCTGTCTGGTGGTTTGTTCTGTGTGTGTGTGTGTGTGTGTGTGTGTGT